GAAAGAAAGAAAGAAAGAAAGAAAGAAAGAAAGAAAGAAAGAAAGAATCAAGCGAACGGCCACACGCCTCAGCGACGTGCAAGAGGCACTCTGGAGAAGAACGGGCGGTCACATGACCGACCTCTTCCGGGTTCTCCCCTCTCGGTTTCGTCTCCTAGAGCACGTGGGTTCTTGTTTGGAGCGGGCCCGGAAGTTTCGTTCCGCCGGCTCATTGGGAAGGGCTGAGTTGAGGAAGGGTGCCCGTCTTATCGGGAAAGATATAAGCCAGTGCCGGCAGGTTACGGGGGGTTCAGTCGGACCGGACTGATTTGGGGGAGATACCGGGCATTTCCTCGCCCCCGCAGGTAGGTCCGAGGACTCATTACTGTCGCCTCCCCCCCCCCCCCCCCATATTACTAGCGCTTCCACGACACGGGGAAGCCCAAAACTGCCTTATAACCGTTTTCTGCCAACTCGGTTAACTAAGAAAATTGGTGTGGGATCGATCGCGCGTTTGCAAAATGTTTAACAATGCTTGTTGCATGACCGTGGGAGTGCGTATAAACAAGACACGGGACTTGGTACTTGACCCTCGTGGGCATCGATCAGCTTAAGATTCAGGAAAGAACTATTTCAATCCACTCCTTCGTTGAAATACGGCCTCGATTAAAGGGTCTGCGGACCTGACCGCATACACTTTGGATTTCAAACAGGAAACAAATCATGAGATGAAGTTGGGTGGTTGTTGTTGTTTACAAACTTCGGTCTGCTTTGCCTCTGTTTTATCTGGAATCAACGAGGGTGTTATTTGTTGCATCAGAGAGTAGGAAAGACTTACCGAGGGCTGAAATCAAAGCAAGACCGAAGTGAGCCTGCTGCAGCTTTCTTAAACCAAAGAACCACTGGAGCACAGTTATCCTAAAAAAAATGGCTTTGCCAGTTGGAACTACCAATGGTAGGAGACTCTCGGTTCCAGAGCAACAGGTCAAGCAAGAGCTGGAGCAATTAAGTTTTACGTTTAAAATTGTGGGGCTAGATTTTCCCTCCTTAAAGTATTACCCAGGATGTGGTAAAAATAAATAAATAAATCAAAATACTAGCCATGATGGTGCAGTCAAAACTGCAAGTGCTATATATTTATGTCCAGGCTTGACTTATAACCATAATAATTGAGGCCAGAATTTCTGTTGCTAAGTGAGACATGAGTTTTGGCCCACTTTATGACCTTATCTACCACATTTGTTAAGTTAATAATCATTTTAAAGTGAACCTGGCTTCCCAATGCCTATGGAGGTTCTTAGTCATCCAGGTCATGGTTGTCCCAAAGGTGCTTTTGTCAAGAGGCAACTGGACTTTCTGGTTTCTCTTTAAAGATGTTTTGCTTCTCATCCAAACTTCTTGGATGAGAAGAGAAACGTCTTCAAAGAAAAATCAGAAAGTCCAGTTGCCTCTTGAAAAAAGCACCTTTGGGCCTGGCTTCCCAATTACTTCGCTTGTCAGAAGGTTGCAAAAAGCAATTGTGTTGATCCTGGGATACTGCAACCATCATAACTATGAACTAATTGCCAAGCATGCAAATTTTGATCACATGACTATTGGGATGCTACAATGATTATAAGAATGGAAAATGGTCATGAGTCATTTTTTTTTAGTGTTGTAACTTTGGTCACTAAACAAATAGTTGTAAATTGAGGACTACCTGTATTCATCCAATTGCTGACCGTGTATGCTCAGGGGTGTCAAACTTGTGTTGTCATGGCGTTGTCACGTGACGTATCATGACCTTTTTCCCTTTCGCTAAACTGTGCATTTGATGCACGGCCAGCATTTGATGCATTTGGCCCGCGGGCCGTGAGTTTGACAGCCCTGATCTAGCTCTAAGCAGCTTACAATAAAATGAATACATAAAATACACAATATAAAAACAAGCATTCAAGGATTGTACGTGTGGTTATTATCTTGACTTTTTGTGACCATAATCTGGGGACACCTGCCATTTTGAATGGATTTGTACTATAACTCTCAGTCTTTGAGATAGTAAGGAATGCAAAGAAGCTTTTTCAGGAGTTTTGTGATGAATATGTATATATAGTATACCAATTTGATAGCCACGCAAAGCTTTTATTGAGTCTTAAAAATAGGTCAGTGGAGCTGAATTATTTTTGGGGGGAGAGATGGAAACAGCTATCTATTCTCTTCTGAATAACCAGCATTTTAAAAGGATATACTCATACTGATTTTCAAGCAACGTTGATCATATTGGCTGGTATTTGATATTACATACAGACCTTCCAATAATTCCCACATTTCTAATGGATATTATCATACATTTTAATACATGTTCATTATGACATACATTAGACCCACTTTTGAAGATGAAATTCTGAAGACTGTTGTTAACCAAAGTATTAATACATTTTACAACACTTTTTGAATAAGGCCATAGGAAATAGAACTGATTTTACTCAGTTGAAATACTAGTTAATGGGACTATTTAAGTGTATGTTATATATACCTTTCTTTTCAAAGAATTGAAGGACATAATCAATAAAAATGTCTGTCCCAAAAGCCAGTTAGAAGTTTGGAGCTTCAGCTCTTATTATTTTCATTTGGAAAATATTTTATGAATTACTAGCTCCGAATATGTAGTCATAGGATTTGACTAATAATATTTCCTTTACTGAAAGTAGCTGTCAAATTGCATCATTCACATTTGACAAACGGGCAGGCGGCAAACTGGTGGGTGCAACACTTATCACCTCTTCCATTTTAGATTTTCTTTTCCTTCCTTCCTTCCTTCCTTCCTTCCTTCCTTCCTTCCTTCCTTCCTTCCTTCCTTCCTTCCTTCCTTCCTTCCTTCCTTCCTTC